TCCAGGGGGCAGCGCAGCCCTGGGGGGGGCGGGGGCGGATGGTTGGGCAGAGGGGACTTCAAGTGGCCCCAGGCTGGTGACGAGGGGGTGCTAGGGGGGTCCCAGGCTGGTGACGGGGGGGGGGTCCCAGGCTGGTGACAGGGGGCGCTAGGGGGGCGCCAGGCTGCTGACAAGGAGGTGCCGGAGGGCCCCAGGCGGGCTGCTGACGGTGGTGTAGCTGATCTTGGAGAGGGAGGCGCCGGTGGTAGGCATGTCGTCGTCGGGCGGGGGGCGCCGGGGGCGCCGGGGCCGGCAGCGGGCGAAGGTGGCGGCGAAGGCGGAGCGGAAGCGCCGGTTCATGAAGCAGTAGATGAGCGGGTTGGCGCAGGCCGAGGTGTAGGACAGCAGGTGGATGAAGGAGATGGGGGCGCCCGACAGCACCCGATGGGCCGCGACCGGGGCGAAGGCGCGCCAGGTGTTGGCGGAGAAGATGGGCAGCCAGCAGACGAAGAACATCACCACGATGACGACCAGCATGCGGATCACCCGCTTCTTGGCCAGCAGCGTGGCCTGCGAGCCGTTGACGCGGGCGCGGTCCTGCTGCCCTGCGCCCGCCCGGCCCAGCAAGCTCAGCTCCAGCGCCCCCCCCGGCCTGGCCAGCTGCATGTAGCAGCCGTCGTCCTCCACCCCCGGCGCCAGGGGCTCGGTGCCGCCGTGCTGGAGACCTGGGGAGAGAGCAGAGCCGGGGTCGGCCCGTGTCTGCGACAGGCCCGAGAGGAGTGCAAGGGGCCGTAGTGGGGGGCCTGGGGAGCACCGGGGGCCCCCGGGGTGGATGGGGGGGTTGGCGGGTGTGAATGAGGGACCCTGGGGGTGGACAGTGTGACGAACTGGGGTTTTATTCATCTTGTTATGGTGCATGTGAGTCTTGCTGTCCTATACCAATACTGTGCGTGCCTCAGTTTCCCTGTGTGCCGCACCAATGGGAATTGGGGGTGTGATTTTGCTGAGGCCCTTGGGGCAGGTGAGGCTGCCCAGCTGTTTGCAGCTGCATAACCTGAGACCCAGGCTGGCTGAGAGTCACGTCTGACTGCGAAGTGGGGGGGCAGAACCCTTTGGCTTCCCCAGGACCCCGCCTGGGCGGACTCGCTGTGAGACGTGCACGGAGGGGCATATGCTGAATGCTCCAAGGTCAGACCCAGGAGGTGAAGCCGTGTGAGCTTCTTGCCCTGAAGACAGTCTGCTCCAAGGGAGACGAGGCTCCCCAAAGTCCTGACTGGCTTTGTGGGGAGCAGTTCCAGAGCATCGCCTGGGGACTCCGTGACAGGGTGTGTGGAGGGGGGACACCAGGGGTAG